TGCTGGTGGTGATTAGATAGCTAGTTAATTATTATATCATTTAATGAAAGAAACCGCAGATTAGTTTCAGCTGGATGGATCTTACCTAAGTGATCAAGTATATGCCATATCCGTATATATTATAGTTGATCAAGTATAATATGGATATGGCATATACTCTAGCTAGCTAGCTATAGAGATATCCAATAATGCATCCAGTTGAAACTAATCCGCGGTACTTTCACCTAATGATTTAACAACTCATTATAATGTAAAACAATCACTAAATTAAATTGAAAACACAAACTAAAGAAAAATTAAAAAAAACACCCAAACATTTAGTACCGGTTGGTGTTACCAACCGGTACTAATGCCCTCCATGCAAACGGGCCTGGCTCGTGCCACGTGGTGGCACTTTAGCGCCGGTTCGTGACGAACCGGTACTAAAGGGAGGGAACCTTTAGTCCCCACTCTTTAGTGCCGGTTGTGCCGGTTGGCGAACCGGCACTAAAGCCCGTTACGAACCGGCACTAAAGGCCGGTTCTGCACTAGTGTGAAGCGATCTCGTAGTACTAAAAATGAGCGAAAAGTTACAACATTGAATGGTTGAAGATATCTAACTTGGGGGTCAAGATTCAATAAATATTTTATTATTATTTACTTTGACATAGGCAACGCCAGTCCCTAGCCGTCTCATCTCTTATCTAGCATGCTTGAACGTGCATTATGCCCTCATTAGAATATGACATATATTTCCATCAAATGAATTGCATTGACAGAAGAAAGCTTTACTAGCCTTCTTCACATGTGGAAGGCTTCCAAGGGACTCTAAGCGCCAAGGAGGCACATGCCATCCAAGAGTAACAAGACTTGCACAATCATTAGAATGAACCATTGCAAAAGATGATCAAGATTTCACTCAATAATCCTTAGAAGTTCGCACAAAGGAGAGAGAGAGAGAGAGAGAGAGAGAGAGAGAGAGAGAGAGAAGCACAAAGCAAGCAAATGAGATGTTTTGTATCAGCAAAGGGCAAACCCTCTCAAGGGATGGGGGTTACTTATATATAGGCGGGTTGAAAAAGTCGATTCTTGGGTGAAAAAGCAACGTCCCTAGAAGTTCTGAACATGCGCACCCCAGAGTTTTGGACACGCTCAAATTTCAATGCCCAGATGTCAAACCTATACTTTTGGAAATAAATTCGAATAGCCATATGGGAAACCTATACTTTTGGAAGTTTGCAACAACATCTAGACGTACTGAGCAGTCCAAAAACACGTTACTTCAGTACACCAAACAGGAACATATGGAGGTTCCAAACAACAAGTACATGTTTTTGTCCACATCAAAAAGATACACCACTTGGTAGTAGCAAACACGCTTCACTTGGAAGTTTGGACCTAATAGAGCATCCATGAAAGGGGAAGGGACATAAAATGACTAAGCTTGGACAACTCTACTCGAAAGTTTTGGAACTATATTGGAACTGTCGTGGTGGAGAAAGCATAACATTCTCGAAAGTACATAACACAATCAACTCAGAGGCACCGGTTTTAACACAACATTGTCTGATATAAGAATTGGAGTTTGGTGGTGGGGGGAACAAAGTTGGGCAGTTTCTAATCCACACTTAGGATTTCTCACTAGCTCTCATGCCACATGGTTTGGGTAAACCTGTCCACTAGTCCGGTGGTTCCAAAGAAGTGTAAAAAGGGAAAGACGAGCATTTTCGTTGGAATAGATTGAGTGCAAGTCTCCCTCTTAACATTACGTTTGTCCTTGAGACTCAATGTAGAGAATGATCCACTTAAATCCTATGAAAGATATGCAAGTAAATCTTATCATCTCTTTACTCAGTTTAAGAGGTAACAATTGATATTTTCCAACTAGCATAGGGAGTAAGAGTTGGAAATAACTGGTATAGTAATTTGTGGTTCCTTGTCATTAATCAGGCAAAACCCCACTAGGGGCCTTGATGCACCTTGGAATGAGAAAAAAAAGGAGATCAAGGGGTGAAGATCATGGAGCACAACCACTACCTTCCTATAGTTGGCCAAGTGGAAATAGTGGAGGTGCATCGTGAGTTCGTGACAGAGGTCTAGCGTGCATCGATGGTCGTGCTCTCTGCATTCTCCTCATCAATTGTTAACCCGGGTAGAGAAAGAGTAGGGGACCTTAGTATTCCATTGGACGTGAAGATCTTTTTTTTTATGCGGAAGTCTCCCGTATGGCACCCATCCCCTCTGAATTGTTTTGGCGAATCATCATGTCAAGGTTAGTGCTCCAGTGTCCAATTTGTGAATGTGGGACTGAGAATGTTAAGCATTACCATTTTCCTATGTCCGAGGGAGAAGGAAGTCTGGAAATTGATAGGTGAGATCATCGATACGGTGTTTACAATGGATAGGGCGGGGAAAGCCTGTCCTGACTCTGGAGCATATTCTTTGCCAAAGTGTCTCTCGTTCTCGGACATGATAGGCCGCATCAAATGGTGGCAATGGTGACATGTTACATGTAGTGGGATAGAAGGCACAACGTGCGTGCCGAGACGATGCAAGTTCCAGCGCGTTCAGCAATGGCGATTATTGCCCTTACCGCCAATTTCTCGGAAACTAAATCCAAAGAAGGGTAAAACCTCCTATGGATGTAATCAAGCTTAATATCGATGCATGTTTTCTTTTTAAACGGATGCCGAATGCTTTGCGTCGACCCTAAGGGGCTGAATGGAGGTTTCATTTTATTATGACATCAAATTAACAACATCACTAGTAACTTGGTCTCCAGTACCATGATGGATGAAGCCATTGTGGTCGAGTCAAGCATGGTCTGAAACATTTTGTACCAGGTTTGTGTTGCTGACGACGTATTCCACGTGGTAAAGCATGGTCCAAACCCGGCGTTGGCGTCCATGGCGGGGTGCACTCGTATTGCGCCGAACCGAGATGATTGTTATCATGAAGGTGGGCACAAGAATAACCGGCATGGATTCCCCGCAAAAAAAAAAAAAAAAAAAGAATAACCGGCATGGCGGAAGCAGTGGATGTTATCACATGTCCCATGAGATTGTGAAGATATAGTTCGATCATTGTCCTCGTGAAGCCAGTGCTGTTGCTCACGAGTTAGGTAGCTGGTTCGTAGCTCTCCTCCGTGTGTTCGGAACAGCAGGGATTACTAGTAGGAACTGGCTTGGCAAGTTCAGGTTCAGCACCCAAATCACTCTAGGCTTTTTTTTTGTTTGAAGATACGATTGCCAGGCCGCAAAGAAACTGCTTTAAACACCAGCAGGAACCAGATCTGAAAAGGGGAATGAAGAAAGAAAAAACACAGCCACGTTGGAATATACTCCTATGTTTATATACTTACGCTAAGGCAAGATCAACATTGAGCATCCGGTACCGCGAAATGATATATAGCATATCTTACGACGAAGTAAGACAAAACACGCATCACGTCGAATATGAGACTGACTGCCGGAAACACGAACAACATCTAGACTAGATGACCAGATGAATATATTGTGTAGTCAGCAACTGTGTCGATCGAACAGAAGTTCCATTCTTTCTTCAGTATATGACTGCAGAAAGATATGAACACATTATGGGTTCAGGAAGAGTCGGTACAAAGGACTGGGGTATATCATCACAGAGATAGTGTGATCAGGCCAACTGGAGCACAAGAATAACACAAGGAAGGGAAGCTGTTCTCTGCGAGCAAATGGCAGCACAACATACAACAATCCTGCCTACAGCTGCATGGAAATAACAATCTTTACTGACTGAAACCCAACATTTCAGCCAGGTAGAAACAGAAGCCCCAGGTAACAATATTTGAGCAGAATATGACTTTCGAAGTCCCAGTCCCTTTTCAGCAGAATGGGTTAGTTCCAGCTAAGCTGTTGCGCCGAACAATCCAACTTTTCGAAAAACAAAGATCCTGGGTAAGTTCCTTCGACGGGAAACCCGACAACCAGGTCTCTCTAAAAGATCTTTGCTACCAGCATGAAAAAGGCAAACCCGACTTTTCTCCAGCAAAGTGAGAAAGAAGCTTGGCCAGGCATTGATAAAGTCTGTGCATGGTCATCTCACAACCTATGAACTAGTAACACCACACGAGCACATATCAAGTCAGTGAGCTATTTACAGTGACTCGCAATGATGCAAGCAAACAAATCATTCGATCATCCAGGCTGTAGATTCTCACAAGTAGTCCACAAGCTCACGAAAACCTCGCGATTACGGCAGTGAACAGTACAAACACAGCTGTTGCACACGCATCAGTCGGCAAAGCAGATCTGAGGAAGTAGGCCATTACAGAAAATAGATGATGGCTTTTATGGACTGATCATTAATAGAAGAGAAAACTTTATATGGAAGTTCTTATCTATAGCATGACTCGGTCGACGGAGATAGAAAAATGGTAGTGCATACAGATATCAGACCCACTAACGCACGCTCAGCCTCAGTTGACCAGAGCCTACGTCTCCACTTTGGAGGAATGGTGATGAGAAGGAACATCACCATCGGACACCGCCTCCCGTTTCATCTCGTGTTCAAATTTTGTCAACCGTTTTGCGCGGGCTGCAGACACACGCATACATCAATCAATCCCTTTTTGATTAGCCCAAACACCCACTACCGGAAAAGCAGCCCCCACCACAAAGTGTATGGCTGGTGCACTACAGACCCGAAAAGAAACAAAATGAGAGCAGGCCAAGACTCTTTTTGTAGCTCTCCGCATCACTCACACTCATAGGGGTATTGAAAGTTGTAGGAGCATGATCAGGTTATTGCTTACCATATCCTTGAAAATTAAAAGCACCTTTGAACAAAAGATGGAAAGGGGTAGTAGGTGACATCATATACCGTCGATACAACTTCCAGTGGAGAGGATCCTTTAGGTCTTTTCCTGCCTCCTTGTTGTTAGTGGATCAGAACCAGCAGTTTTTATCTTAACACTTTGATAACAGGTTCATGCATGCCTACTAGCAGCTGCGGGGATGGGTGTTGCAGCTGCTGTTACTATACTAGGCAGTGTTGTTGGGTTCAGGCTTCACCGGCTGGCCGTCCTGTGAATGTTGTGTGTCATAGATAGCCATGGCAAGAGAGACTGGCATCATGCAGAGAGCCTTGGATTGGAGAAATTGCATTGCGGCACCGATGTCCTCGTCCATCAGCTTCGCAACCTGTTTTTCTGTGCCATCCGTTGACCACTTTTCCCATATCTGCTGTTTGCTCCCACCATCGCTTGCTTCCCCCTAACGAAATTAATGCAAGATAAAAGTTCAACAACCGAAAGATATGGCAATTTAGAGATGGAAAGGGACTCCCAGACAGATTTATTCTTCAAGTCAAGGTACAACTGATCAAGGAAGAATGATGCACACTATGTTATAACCATCATGGAGCAAATACTGGGATGTGTCAGGTTCTCTAACGGGCCTCTGATAGCAATAAGTAAAGATGATTTTTAACAAGAAGGACGAACAGAGTGTGACATAAAAAAAGTCGATAATGGAAATAAGGTGCTGAATGGATTCTGCCTTCAGCACCACTGCCCAGAAAGAAGAAAGCAAGAAGATTAAAATAAAAAAGATGTTGATAGCCAATTTCTCAAGGAGTAAAGGAAGGGGAAACCTAAACTGTATATTGTACTTTTTATAGCAATGCTCAGTATAATAAACCATAACATAATGTACTTTGATTGGTATATTCATGGCACCACAGGTGATGCTTTCCCAACCAGCAGTACATCCAGCAACTTCCACCATGGAAAAGAAAGAAAATAAAAGAGAAGTAGGTGGAAGAAGCCAACAGAAAACATTTCAAGAATTACATGCAACGTATGGAACCAAATAAAAGATCAATCAGTACTACGGTTTTACTATAAGCCTACCTCAATTGAAATGCAGTAAAATAGAAGAAGGTAATAGCGCACAATGCTATATTAGTCCATAGTCAGTTTTTGGCAAGTTTACCTTAACTGAAAGTGGAATGTCAGAAACCAGCTGTGCAACAGCACCAGCACCACCCAATCTGCTCATGCTTAACACCTAACATCAGGGAATCAAGGTTCCATCAAACTAAAACCACAATGGTTATTGACAGTTCATATCCAACAGCATAGTGAACCTTACCTTTACTTGAAGCCTAAGGAACTTCACATAATCCAGGATCTCATCTAGCATAACTGCCCTATCTGTCTGCATGTAGTTCAAAAGGAGACTCAGAATTTCTTCTAGTTGTCATATTTGGATGTTACGTATTAAATACTATGTATGTGGCGATTGTGGTGCCTGTATTGTTCTTGAATTTATTTTATATGATTACCAGGATACTCACTAGATTATCTCAAAAGGAAGGCATATACAAAGCTTACGGAGCGTGATAGAAAATAATATCTTTTTGGAGCTGAAAAGTTATTGGTCAAAATAAAGAAGCACAAAGATAATATAATATTTTCAGCACATCATGACCCCAGACCACTTGCTGAAATTCTGTGAGGTCTCAATGGCAGGCATGTGAACTACAGAAGTCTTCACCCATATGATAACATCTACAAGTATAACTAAGAATGATTACCTTGTTTGTATTGGGGACCAATTCCTGTAGGGCCCTCATCCTTTCCGCTATCCTCTCTCTTCTTAGCTGCATTGGAACAAGTATGGTTCAGAATACTCCTGAATAAACACCTACCAGAATCATAAAATAGGCTTAAAAAAATACAGAGTGGGAGAATACAGCCTGACATACAAACACAGTCATACAACTGCTAGAGATATGGCGCATAATTAAGTTTAAAGAAGGCAGCCAACCTTAAAAACTAGCTAGTACTGTATAATTGTATAACATTCACTGAGTAATAGGATTGCAAAATGACACATGAGTAGTCAAAGGTAGCATGCAGACATCTAGCGTACTACAACCACATGGCAATACGTGACTTGGTCAGCCTTAGAGAAAACGCCAGATGCATCTGCCGAATGACTGCCCATCATTTGGCTAACGCCAAACCATTTTTAAAGCATGTGGTGACTTGTACAGCAAGTGAATTGATGCAATTGAATACAGGAACCCTGTCGCTTCGGTGTCAAGTTAGAGTTGATTGCTTGGTCACAGACTGACACTGTGCAAGCATGACCCCAGGCCTTTGATTTGGTAACAGCATGGGATGCACAGTAACGAGTAATGACCTAGGGTAGGCAGGGTTCGTAATCAACACAAGTTTTAACAGAATGAATGACTTCCATTACCCTCTCTGCGATGCTGTGGGGATCGGTCGCCTGACCGCGGCGCGCTCGCACCTTGGGCCTCGGCGCCGGCGGCTGCGGCCCTCCGGCCGGCCCGCCCTGCTTCGGCTGCTGCGCGTGGAACATCTGAAAATCGCCACCGGATATGACGCAGTTAGCACAAATTCTGAAAAATTATAGCTGAAACACGCACAATTTGTCTGCAGAAGCGTACCTGTGGGGGAGGGTGGCTGGGGCGAAGGTGCGGCGGCTGGAGGCCACCGCCGAACACCGGCGGGAAGAGGCCGGGGAGCTGCACGCCGTCCCGCTCCTGCAGAGGCAAGCGATAAGATAACCGACGGCACGCGCGTTTCTGTTGAGCGAGGGCCAGCGCAAAAGGCAGAGGAAAAAAAGGGGGGGAAAGCGGAGGGGGCGCTCACCGCGGGGTTGCCGGCGTCGTCGCCGATGCCCCCCCTGCTGCCGGAGGCGTCCGAGGCGGCGTCGAGGCTGAGGGCGAGGGAGAAGGGCTGGTCGCCGGAGGGGCGGCCGGCGGCGGAGAGGGAGTTGGTGAGGGAGAAGAACTGGTCGAGGAAGTCGTCCTCCGGGCCCTGCGGCGGCTGCCCCGCCATGCCCGGCCGCCGGCGGGTGGGCCAAGCCGGTGCTCCCTCGCCGTCGGCTGCCGGCTCGGGGGCCGTGCGTTGGTCTCCTCGGCGAGCGTGAGCCTGTGAAGTGGTGGGGATCGACGGGTGTTCGCTCGGCCTCCCTTTATTCACTCCGAGTCCTCCTAGGCATGTAGAGCAGGCTAGGCCATGGGCCTCGTGGGCCGACAGGTTGTGATTCGATATTCTGGGCCCAAAGTGGAAGCCCACATGGAGAGGGTAAGGCCTGCCCGCAGATCACGTAGCGGGTGGAGAGAGCCCGCCATGCTCTGGAGTGGTTTCGCTCCAAAAAAAAATGCTCTGGAGTGGTGCTCCTTTTCTCAAGCCTCAAAAAAGGAAATCTCTTGTTTCTCAAGAAAAAAATTTCTCTTTGTCTCAAATTTCTTTCTCTCAGACCATATACTTTTTTTTGCAAGATCAGACCATATACTTTTTTTGCGGGCAGTGCCTCTCAGACCATATACTACCATGCAAGGTGTTTATATGTACTAAAAAATGCAATGTGCTTAGGAAAGTGCTTGTACAAAAAATTTGGTTTTTTAAAAATCACTAGTGTTTATTTTTATAGCAAAGGCCCGGTGAACAATCTTCAAATCGTTCAAAAAAGAAAAGAAAAGCAAAGGTGCAGATAAATGCATGTACATGCTACTCCCCCCCCCTCCCCAAAAAAAACGCATGTACTCCCTCCGTAAACTAATATAAGAACGTTTAGAATGCTAAAAATAGTGATCTAAACGCTCTTATATTAGTTTACTGAGGGAGTACTATGCAAGTAAGCAACAATGCTTAAAAGAAAAAAAAAACAGTTCAATTTCACAAACACCTCTCTAAACGTCTTGCATTTTACATGACCTCATGCTCTTTTTATTTCACCAATAAGGCGAGCCCTCCTCCTTCAAAATAAAAGAGCTCCAACGCAACCTCACATGTGGTTTAGAGCAACTCTAGCAGACCCTGCATCCCGCCGCCCTGCAAAACGCGTTTGCGGTTCGCGCAAAACCGCTTTTGCGGGCCGGCTCGGGCTGGCACAGATACAGACCCCCAAACGGATCCGTAAAAAGGTATATTCGCGGAATATATCTTTTTACGGGTCGACTTTGCGGGGTCTGCTCTTTGCGCCCCGCATATCATCGGCCCGCAAATATCAAATCCAACATAACTCAACAATAAAAAATAAACTGAATTATTCAAATCAAACATAATACAATAATCATCCGCATTACAAATAATTATTCAAATCACCGTAGCAAACTTAAATAATGCAATACAAAACTTGTCATGAATACAAATACAAATGAATATAAAAATTAGTCACTGTCCAGCCCTTTATCAATGGTGCTCAATGAGATCCTCCTGAAGTTGAAAGTGTGTGTCTGCATTTTCAATCTCCTTGTATGTCTAAAGAAAAGCTCTAATGCGGTTAGGGTCTCTAGCTGGTTTGACACGGCTACCCGCATTGTCGTAAAAGAATTCTAAGTTCATTCCTCTCTTATCTTCAAGAATCATATTGTGCAGGATAACACATCATGTCATGATGTTTTTCAAGGTTTTCTTATCCCAAAAACGAGCAGGACCACGGACAATGGCAAACCTAGATTGCAAAACATCAAATGCTCTTTCAATGTCTTTTCGGGCTACCTCCTGCACCCTTGCAAATTCACATTGTTTTTTTGTTTTGGGTTCTTTGATGCTCTTGACAAATGTGCACCAAGGAGGGTATATACCATCTGCAAGATAGTACCCTTTTGTGTATTCATGCCCATTGATAGTGTAGTTGCAAGCAGGAGCATCACCACTAGCAAGCCTAGCAAACAAATGAGACCGTTGCAACACATTGATATCATTGAGAGTGCCCGACATACCAAAAAAGCAATGCAAATCCATAAATCCTCGGATGCTACGGCCTCTAGCACAATTATTGCATCACGAGACTTGCCACAATACATTCCTTGCCAAGCCTTGAGGCAATTTTTCCAATTCCAATGCATACAATCAATGCTACCTAGCATGCCAGGCCAACCTCTCCTCTCATTAGATGCCATCAATTTCTTTGTGTCATCTTCATTGGGTGCCCGAAGATACTCAGGACCAAAGACACGGACGATCACTTTTGCAAATCTACGCACAAACTTAATTATGGTATCTTCACCAATGCGAAGATACTCATCGGCATAGTCAGCCGGAACCCCATATGCAATCACCCGCATAGATGCGGAGATTTTTTGACACGCACTAAATCCCTTTAAGCCCGCGGCATTTCTTCTTTGAGTATAATACCGGCAATTTGCCTCGCAAACTTGAACAAGTTTCACAAAGAGGGATCGGCACATTCGGTACCTTCTCCGGAAGAGGTGCGGAGGATACGTAGGATTCTCCGCGAAATAGTCTTGCATCAACATCTCGTTCCCAAGATGGCGATTCCGAGGAATGCATAGACGCCCGACAGTTGATCCTCGCCTCCTCTTCCGGTGCTCGTCTTCATGCTCCTTCACGGCAAGCGCCATGACTAATGTTTGCTGCCGGAAGGTCGCAAGCATGGTCTCAACATCCGAGTCATCCGAATTGGACGAATCGGAGAGCAAGAACTTCTCGCACGGGGTCGACTCCATCTACACGCATGTCAGCGCGTCAATCAACTACACAGCTCGCAAAATTCACAAAAAAAGGACTAACTGGTGGCGGGTGATCCCAGGTGGCGACGACGGGGGCGGCGACGAGGGGCGGCTCTTCTCGTCGGATCCGGAGGGGGGGTGCAGCGGCTCGGCGCGGGAGGGTGTGGGGCGTCCCCGCGGTGCAATTCCGCCCGCAGATATGGCCGGAATCGCCGGCGGCGAGCGGGCGGAAGCAAAGGGCGGGCGGGCGGCGGCGGAAAGAGGGGGAAAGCGCGCGGGGCTGAAATGTCCCTTCGCCAACTGCTTCTCTCCGATGCAGGGCACCGCAGCTGCGAGGGGGAAACCCACGTTTTCCCAGCTTGGGGTCGGGATTTTGCCGCGCCCTCCAAATTTTTCTGCGGGTCGGGGCGGGATGCGGGGTCTGGTCGGGCAGGTTTTCCGGCCCGTACCCGCATTTTGGCGGTTATTTTGCGGGTCGGGGGCGGATGCAGGGTCTGCTAGAGTGGCTCTTACCCTTTCGCAACTGTTGTCGCCGTAGCACACCTTCAATGGACTAACCGCTCTAATGTGTACCAATGAGCATGTGATCACGCCCTCAAAGTAATAAAAAGTACTCCCTCCATCCCAAAATTCTTATCTTAAATTTGTCCAGATATGGATGTATTTAATACTAAAACGTGACTTGATACATATGTATTTAGACAAATATAAGACAAGAATTTTGGGGCGAAGGGCGTAGTTATAACTTTGGTTCGAGTAACAACAGTAACAACTTGTCAGCAGAACATGATGTCAAGAGGTTGAAGAAAATGATAACATCTTCCTCCCCAAGAAAAGTCTCCTTCCTCCTCCCATCGGCGCCGCCGTGGATCCGCCCCGCCTCCGATGGCCTTTGGCCTATGGAGGTGCGGAGGATCTCGGCCCCCGCCGGTGGGAAGGACCCCGTGTTGGAAATATGCCCTAGAGGCAATAATAAAATGGTTATTATTATATTTCTTTGTTCATGATAATTGTCTGTTATTCATGCTATAATTGTATTATCTGGAAATAGTAATACACGTGTGAATACATAGACCACAACATGTCCCTAGTGAGCCTCTAGTTGACTAGCTCGTTGATCAACAGATAGTCATGGTTTCCTGACTATGGACATTGGATGTCATTGATAACGGGATCACATCATTAGGAGAATGATGTGATGGACAAGACCCAATCCTAAGCATAGCTCAAAGATCGTGTAGTTCGTTTAGCTAGAGCTTTTCTAAATGTCAAGTATCATTTCCTTAGACCATGAGATTGTGCAACTCCTGGATACCGTAGGAGTGCTTTGGGTGTGCCAAACGTCACAACATAACTGGGTGACTATAAAGGTGCACTACGGGTATCTCCGAAAGTGTCTGTTGGGTTGGCACGAATCGAGACTGGGATTTGTCACTCCGTATGACGGAGAGGTATCTCTGGGCCCACTCGGTAATGCATCATCATAATGAGCTCAATGTGACCAAGTGTCTGGTCACGGGATCATGCATTACGGTACGAGTAAAGTGACTTGCCGATAACGAGATTAAACGAGGTATTGGGATACCTACGATCGAGTCTCGGGCAAGTAACGTACCGATTGACAAAGGGAATTGTATACGGGGTTGCTTAAATCCTCGACATTGTGGTTCATCTGATGAGATCATCGAGGAGCATGTGGGAGCCAACATGGGTATTCAGATCCCGCTGTTGGTTATTGACCGGAGAGGCGTCTCGGTCATGTCTGCATGTTTCCCGAACCCGTAGGGTCTACACACTTAAGGTTCGGTGACGCTAGGGTTGTAGAGATATGAGTATGCAGTAAACCGAAAATTGTTCGGAGTCCCGGATAAGATCCCGGACGTCACGATGAGTTCCGTAATGGTCCGCAGGTAAAGAATTATATATAGGAAGTTAGGTTTCGGCCATCGGGAAAGTTTCGGGGGTCACCGCTATTGTACCGGGACCACCGGAAGGGTCCCCGGGGTCCACCGGGTGGGGCCACCTATCCCGGAGGTCCCCATGGGCTGATGTGGGAGGGGAACCAGCCCTTGGTGGGCTGGTGCGCCCCCCCTTGGGCCCCCCTGCGCCTAGGGTTGGAAACCCTAGGGGTGGGGGGCGCCTCCACTTGCCTTGGGGGGCAAGCCACCCCCTTGGCCGCCGCCCCCTAGGAGATCCCATCTCCTAGGGCCGGCGCCCCCCTAGGGTCCCTATATAAAAAGGGGGGAGGGAGGGCAGCCGCACCCATGCTCTTGGCGCCTCCCTCTCCCCTTGCTACACCTCTCCCTCTCGCAGAAGCTTGGGAAGCCCTGCCGAGATCGCTGCTGCATCCACCACCAC